CCTTTACATACGCCTTTAGCCATTCCATTTACCCAAGCGTTGACAGACGAGTGGTCCAGACACAGAACCCGTAATCTCAACGTCCATGGTTCCGTTCCAGTCTGCTCCGTTTAATTATTTTTTTTTGTCTAAATAATTTTTCATAAGGTAAATCTATGAAATTCATATTAATTTCTTGTGGCTAAAATTCATAAGTGGTTCTTATTAAATTCTTACGTTCTTTTGTCTCGGTGTTTATTTAACGTCGGTCTCTGTTCCGCAATCTAATACCCATCACCGACGGATATCGATTGTCATCCACCGGCGCCGGCTGGGCCAATGGTCGAGAGTGTTTATTTTTGGAATTAATTTACATTAAAAGTACGAAAAGATATAAATTGTTCTAGACCCCACGATAGAAAATTTCCATACTAGTCGCAAAAAGGAGTGACCCTAAGCTTTTTGGTGGTATTTCAGCGATACTGATTTTTTTTAAACAAGTTTTTCACCGTGCTTAACATTGCATGATCGAACAGGTTAATTTTTAACATTATTTTATTTCAATGATTTAATTGAACTGAGCAACTCCGGTCTATGTTTTTAAATGAGTTGCATTTTGATATATTGAGTTAAATTTATTCGAAGTTTAAAAAAAAACATACGGCACCACTGGTCCACCATTAAGACATTGCACAGTGGTCCAAAAACCGTATTTTTGTGGAATAAATTGTTTGTGCCTAAATCATTAGTTTAGGTATATAGTGTCTTCGGGAAAGTTTTTTTCATGTTTTGTGGTCAATCTTTTTATGTGCACTTTCGGAGACGAGCCAGCCAACGGCTGAAAGTCTCCTTAATAAAGATATACATAAAAAAAAAATATGTGCAAAATATTAGGGTTGTTCCAAGTGACTTTGTAGTGACTGACTTGGAAATAGTGACCTGCTACCAGCCCTGATATTCGGAACTCAACAACTGTATGCAGTTAAGTCAGTTACCACAAAGTCACTTTTTTCATAAAAAGGTAGAAGGGTCTGTGCCTAGGGACACGAACGGAAGCTTGACGTAGGACAGCTAGTGGACGGAACAAATATGTTGATCATTTAGTTCTTAACTCCTTCCGTTTTTGAATTGGCAAATGGTAGCCACACCAGTGCAAGTCGATGCCGACTGGATGACGGCGGCCTAGTCATGCTTCCTTTTGCGGGAAGCCTTTCCTCCGGACGATGTGGGTGCTTTTGTAGTCGTCGTCATCGTCTTCGTATTGGTGCGATTCCACTCATACGTCATGTCCGTTGCTCGAAAGCAAATGACGAAGAAAACGATTTGGCAAGCGTTTTTATTATCGCTGCTTTTCTCCTCCCTTCCTTTCATTGGTCGATCAACCGAGCATTGAGCATGCTCATTGTGTCGTTTGTTCGATTTGCGCTCTATCGTTTCGTCCGTGTTTGGGATTTTTCGTTACGTGTCTGAATTTTGATTTTTTAATATGACCCCCAGTATAGAAATTAAAGACGTAGTCCTACGTCAAGAAAAGTCACTATAGCCACTACTTTTTTACAAATGTAGCCACTAAAATCACTTTTTTAAGACCAATGTTGCGAGTAAAGAATTTGCCTTTAAATAATAACATCAAATTACAGCTTGATTTGGTAACAAATTGGTGTTATAAAGATTCATTAAAAATGAGAAACTTTGACAAGACCGACAATGAGAGTTGCGACAAGAACGTTAATTATCAAATCAGATTATTTGTTTTCCCTTGCCTGCGATCGCAAATTTGTCATATCTTTACACAAATATACTAAGGCTTCGAAAACAATGCAGGTTTCAATCAGGGGACAGGTCACCTTAGCTGAATATATCTCTATTTTTTACATTGATTAGTTTTTGAAAATACTTAAATGTTTTCTTAATAGGTATTTAGAAACATTTGATTTCTTTATTGTAGATATTTTAAACTTGATAGTTCATTCGCCTCTTAAAATATTTAATGATATTTTAAAATATATCTATGTTTGCTGAGTGGGTGGTGTAGTGGTAAGCGAGATTGCCTCTCACCCCAAAAGGCCTGGGTTCAATCCCAGTCAGCGCCGCCGGGATGTTCTGAGCCATAACATCTATGATTACGCTTTCCTTCGGAAGGGTCCTCGGTTCATTAGTTTATGGGTAGATAGGTGTAGGATCCAGATGTGGGAGCTGCCTCTCTGGCGTCGGTAGCATTGGTGCTCAGCACGGAAAACAAGATCAACGGAAAACAAATCAAGGAAAAACAAATATATTGTTTTGGTTCATTCGGGTTTTTAGAAGTTTTATTTGGGGACTGAGGTCAACATGTGTAGTGGTGGATTGGCTGTTTATACTTGTCCTGAAGAAGGCCATGTTGAGTGATCAGCACTTCCTGATGATTCGGCCGGATGATGGCTCTATTGGTGTATGCGTGCCAACGTCTGGAGCTGTGAAACAGGAATTGTAGCTTTTTTTTACGAAACTGGGCAGTTTCTGCATTCTTGCGTCGACTTCTAAATGTTTCACTTTTTTCACAATAGTTTTCTATTTTAACACAGAGGATTCGGAGGTAAAGTGCACAAGGTGGCAAGAAAAGGATTGAAGTATCAGAAATTTGATTCTGTATTTAGGAATTTCATTTGATGGAAGTTCAGCAAAACATAATGAATACTGAAATCTCGGTACTTAACTGAGATTCAGTCGTACACCGTAAATTTTCTATTTTACGGTAAATTCAGTACTTGCTGTTACTGTACACAGTAGTTTGTAGTAAAAGTTACTGAATGTCAGTAGTTATATTTAGAATAGCAGAATGGCCGGTAATGTTAGTGATTTACAGTTGAAAAACTGTAAAAAAAAAATTACAAGGGACAGCCCTATGGGGTTGTACGCAATGGTTACGTAGGACTACGTGGTCTTATATAATAACTGCCGCAGGAGCTTGTGTTTTGTGTAGGAATATGAATTTGAGCAGGGTTCAATTTTGAAATCTCTGTTAGGGAAACGCTTTTAGCAGGCAATCTGTGATAAGTTTAATTATAATAGCAACAGTTGCAATAGTGACATTTTGAAAAATGATAAATTCCTAAATTTAACAGACGCGCAGAAAAATTTCTGATCGATTGGTGATAAAATTATTGAAATAAGTCCAGGGCAGCTGAGTTATTATCGTTCAAAATCTTTCTTAATTTTGTTACAATGTCATGTTCCATTTCGGTTTTAACATAGTGTACCTCCATATAGAAATCACAGACGTAGTCCTACGGTGATTAAGTGTGTAGGTGTGGCTTCTTTTCAATGTCGGCAGTGCTATTCTTCGCCAACAGCTGGCAGCAAGCACCAGTTTTTCTATCATCTGTTGGTTCTCTGTGTAATTACAGATGATCTGGCAATCACAAAGCAGCACCCGCGGGTGGTCAGTCATACTCATGCTCTCTTGCTCAATACACCTAAAAGAGTTATTGGATTGGTATTAACAGACCTTTTAAATAACAAATTATGGTATTCTTGTATAAAAAGCGTTGATTATTTGTCAGTTTTTATAATAACTTAATTATTTATTAGTTCGTTATTCGTAGAACATTGTTGAGGTATTAATACTATATTTAGGTTGCCAGCGTGAAAAGTGTGGTAAGTGAGTAGCTAAAAATAATTTGGTGAGCGACTATGTTGCTTGACGTTACAACGTTTTGCACTTCTCAACCAAACTACTCACCAAGATGTTTTGGGTTACTCAAATCAGAAACTTTTGATCAACTCTTATGGAAAATTTAACGCACTTTTCAAATATTTTTAATTTGCATATTATCTAACAATAAAATCATCTTCATACACGGAGACTGCCAGAATCACCCGTTCTGTTTTAGTCTCGAAGTCGAAGAAAAACAAGTTGATGTTGTTCAATAGACCCAAGACTGATTTCATACCGACTCGACTAGCGGTTGGCAGTACCCTCTCACTCAGATTATACAGAAATTACACTAATTGGGTGTAAAGACTTTGACTTCTTAGTCATCTTTACTTGTTTTCCGAAAAAATAGCAGGACAACTTTTTGAAAATGGGAAATTTTTTCGATGTTTTTTTTTTTTTAAGTTAATAAATTGAAAATGATAAGGCCTGACACAAATTCATTCAATCATTTTTTTCTCAATTTAAATAGTATCTAAAGAAGAATTTCTAGAGAATTCTAAAAAGAGGTTCATATGAACTTTCAGAAGAATTTCGAGATGAAATTCAGGATAATTTTGGGCAGAATTTTGAAACTATTCTAAGGTTCTGAATTGCTTGGGAATTCTAATGAGAATTCAAGCGAATTTTAAACAGAATTATGGAAGGAAGCTTCAGCGAATTCTTTTTTTTTTTTTCCTTTGGTTTGTTTTTTCCGTCGATCTTGTTTTCCGTGCAAGCAGCTCCCACACCTGGACCCTACCTATCGACCCATCAACTCATGAACCGGGGACCAACGGCTTTACTTCCCATCCGAAGGAAGTCGTGATCAGAGATGTTATGCCTCAGAACATCCCGGCGGCGCCGACTGGTATTGAACCCAGGCCTGCTGGGGTGAGAGGTAATCACGCTTACCACTACACCACCGGCGCCGTTGAACAGCGAATTCTTGGAAGAATAATTTAAAAGATAACTTTAGGATGAATTCCATTTTTATTCTTGGAGTATGCAGAGAATCTCTGGATTGCTATAAATAAATTTTCAAAGAAATCTCAGAATCTCAATATTAAAATTACGGAAATAACAAGAAATGTGCTTATCGGGATTAGCTGGTTATCATGATACAAGTAGACAATAAAAGCGTGAAGTAGCAAGTTAGGACCAGAGCTGTCTGAAAAGCTCCTTCCAGGTTATGGGTTTGCCACCCAATATACCAGGGTCCATTTGAGTGCAGTGGGTTTGCGCATTTACGATGATTTACACGTTCATGATGCTCTATATGAATAACCCTATTATTTTGTATCGACAACCTATAACGTTTTTCCCTTTTTCGTTTTCTTTCAATCAGGTGGTGGCAAAGATCTAGCAACCGTGGCTACATTGACGAAACACAAAGGCGATGGTGCTCTGAAGGCACCTGCAGGGGGTATCCCAGCGTCAAACGTATCATCCAAGTCGACTGGTAAGATTCCCATCGGCTTGGTTACAAAACCAGTAACGGGTGGAAGTTACGAAGTGATCAGACAGCCAACCCTTCTCAAACAGCCTGGTGCTGGCGGCAGTGGTGAGTATTGTGATCGTTCACAAGGCATTTAGTATCTGCTCGGCTGGGACAAACTAATAGCTAGCGGTACTGTGGCAGATTAAGCGTAATATAATGTATTCGTGTATTTTGTCTTTCTTATCATCCCATGCGCGCCCTCTTGGTTTACTGTACCATGCAAACTGTGTTGTGAATCTGTAATATCTCTTGCACATACCGAACAATTCTAATAACAATGGTGATGGATAAATTCAAATTACGGCATCGCATCCAAATATTAGCCTATGGAATGGGTGGTAGCAGTGGAATGAGTTCTTCATCTTTGGTTGGTAGTATTAGTAGCAAGTTATCTAGTCCGAGTGCTAGTACTGCAAAATCAGCGATGTCGACTGCATCACCCACCGGGACGCTTCCACATGGAGCGACTAGTATTCTGGGCGGTCTCGGTAGCTATTATCCGCCAAGTATTGCCACTCTGTTGGCGCAAAGTAAGTCTTTATTGTCCTTCCTTCGTATATCGGTCGGCATCCTTGCTAGAACGTAGTTTCAGTTTAAAATGCTTGCTTGCATAATTTATGTTCTAGAATTGGTATCACTTGATTTAGTTGTAGTTGAAATATTTTTTGGAAATATTCCCATGCATGTTGACAATAAAAACTTTGCCCATACAGGTAACCTTCTATTGAGCTTTGCAGTATGTCTTATTGTTTATATTTTAGTGCTTATGTGCTTAGTGCTTTTTCAATACTTTTTTTTATTATAGAATGCTAACGTAAAATCCATTTGAATTATCAGTTAACCCATCGTAAAATAAATAGTTTAATGCTATGCCAATCAATGAGTAAACTGAAAATTCAACTGAATTTTACGTTGATGTTCTATAAAAAAAAATAATGAAAAAGCCCCGAAAGAGCTTATGAGCGCTATTATTTACTTTACGAAACCAAACCAAACTGGCTGATAGTTTCTTGAATGTGTACTTTTTGCCCTTTTTCGGCTTTTTGTCTTAAAAATGTGATATTAGCTGTATTTTATTAGAGTTTCCATATCGAAATCGTTCGCTGTAAGCATAATTTATTCAGTTTATTTTCGCATTATGTGTGTAGTCGTCTGTCTATGTATATCTTAATAATAATTGCAGCCATGTTCAATTTTGAAAGGCCAATAGCAAGCCTGATGTCCATATCCTTGTCTCATTTTCTTCGCTTCTCCTTCCTCCTAAATACTGTCTCTGCCATACTTCAATGCATTATATTGGCTCTATCTCTCTTTGCTTCGCTAATTAATGTTAGCCGTCGATGGATGCAAACATCTTACAATTGAATTAGCGTTGCATTGCATTCGAGAAATGGAAGCATTGCATACGCGTCGCTGTCCACGTCTCATGAGACTATCGATTTTATGCATGTCATATCTTATTAGTCCTTCTCAACTCGATTCTGATACTATGGCACCTTTTGTTGGGTTTAACACTTCTGTATATTATGTCCCAAACACCACTTATACCCCGTTCATACTACATCCTATATAACGTGAGATAGAGTATCTTCATATCAAACATCATACATATTATTTCCAGTGAAAACTAGATGTATGGATGCTGATATCAAGATAGGTTATATCACGCAACATAGGTTGTAGTGTGATCGGGGTATTAGAGATAATGCACAATATTAATGAACGTATTTTTGTTATCGTCCAATGTTAGTGGGTATGGCGGCTTCACTTGGATTCAGTGGCAGTTCATCGATGAGTAACGTAAATCACATGACAAGCAATCAAATCATGCTTGAACAATTGAAGGCGCTGGTTGCTGCCAATCCTCACTACCTGACCAGTGGCATACCTACGAACCTACTCTCCCAGATCTGGATGGCCGATGCAGCAAAGGTACAACAGCAACCAGTATTCAGTTATGTATGTGGTATTTTTCAGTTGATTATTGTTTCTCTTTTATTGTTAGTTGAGCTCCCTACGTACCATGTTTCATATGTTTCATTATTGTCGAAGATGTTCACCATAATGCAGGGTAAGAATAGATAATAATAGCTTCTAAATTTCGAGCACTGATCGAGCGACATATGTTTAAAAGATAGGGTTTTTTATAAATCCTACTAAGACCCGTGTTAGTATTACCTCTCTATTTTGAACAAGTTTGTAAAAAAAAAACAAAATGTTTCTACGCACTTTTTACCTGTGTACCAACGTTAAAAACCTGATTAATGGTCTCGAATCAGTTGCAGATTGTAGAGAATTCCTAGCTTCACTAATATGTGTACATTTTCAAGCAGTTTTGAAAACCGGTGTACAGGTAGATTGAGGTTAGGATGACGCAATTGAAGCAACACTTATTTTACTCTAAGTTGAGTTGGGTAGTTTCATCCCTCTGGTTTCGATAACATCCAGGTTTGTCATGGCTACAACAATAATCATGATTTCCGTTAAGGTCGGTTCGGATGTCCGAAGTCAGACTTCTCATCTTTAATTAAGTGCTGACGCCGTTGTAGGAACCATCTTCATCATCATCATAGTGTATTAGAATAACATTCTTGAATCAATATTTCAGATAAACATTTAAAACTGATCAAATACACACACACACACACACACACACACACACACACACACACACACACACACACACAGAGACACACACACACACACACACTTTCAAGCGATACATGAAAAACAAATAACAATCTATAACAAAACAAATGTTAATGATGAACTGTAACGTGCGTTCGTCGTGGTGGACTTCTTTGAACTGGACGGGAACACTATCAAATGTATTGAATCAAATTATGTAAATCTTAATGTTGTCGAACGGAACGGAATCCCTTTATGAAGAACTTTTTGAGCGTGTTGATTGATTTCCTTATAACGAGAATTATAACGGAATTAAAAGGAAATAAATCAACACACTCATAACGCTCCTCACATATTATCCGCAACATTTAGCTAGGACTCAGTGACGTTGCGTAACCTTACTTTTTAGAGGTTCAACAACTTTGAAAACTTAATTTAGAGGCATATGCATAGTGTCTTCTATATTCACTGATTTATATTGATTTAGAGCAATAACTTTTTATTTGTTTGCGTTTTGAGAGTTATTGAGCAGGTAGATTGAGGTTAGGGCAACGATCGTATAGGTGATATCATTAAGTACTTCCCAGTATAAACTTCCCTTAAGGGGAAGCTCACCGCTCCGAAAAAAAATAATTACGTTTTGATTTTTCTAAAAAAAATTGGAGAAAGAAAGGGTAGAGAACTACTTCGGCCTAATCGCCCATTTTTGGCCTATCGAGCAGAAAACTTCAACATTATCCATGATTTCAGAGTTAACAAGTCAATTATGCGTTTGGTACGATACTTTAGTTAATAAGCTACGTCAATGAGAACGCGTGATATGAAGGTTTGCACCCATTATTCCCAAAAACAAAAGAAGCGCTCGGACCGAATCAATTTTTATCTTTATCCGATAGGCCCAAGTGAATTCATTGGCGTTTCAATGCGTTAGGCCGAGTTTAGAATCCATATGCCGAGTTTGGCGTCAAGAAGCAGTGTTAGACTTTTGACAATATCTCAACGATTGGTTTCTCTTTATCAAATTTTACGGTACATACGGAAAGGTAAATAAATTTGGAAGCCATCAGTAATAATAACTTTCCGTTTGGTGCTAAACTGCGCTAGATTAAGCAAGACGAGGTGCGGGTTGTGCTTAATAGGCCGGAAATAGGGTAGTTAACTATCAAAAATTTAAAAAAAAATCACATTTATTTCTAATTTTTCAAAGAAAATTCATGTGCAAAAACATTTTTTTATAAGTCATTATGGCATAAAAATATTTTTACATGTATTTTTTGACAAAAATCTAAGGAAGAAACTGATTTTCTTGATTTTTTGATAATTTTTTCCAATATTTTTAGAAAAATAAAAACGTACAGAAAATATTTTTTTTTATTTTCGGGCCGGTAAACTTCCCTTAAGGATCCTATTTACTTGGAATTCCATGGAAAATTCCCCACTGTAAATACATTTAGTTGTGTATGGCGGTCTTCAAATGATGCAAAATAATACACAAAATGCCATTTAACTTATGAAGCAAAGTGTTGGGAAATCCAAAACAGGGAGGAAATCTTCCTCTAATGAACTCGAGGATGCCATATTGAATAATTTTGTCATACATGTAAATCACGTAAGCACAAACACACTCACATAACCTCCCATACACGTTTGACGTGAAAATGTTTTTACTTTCATCATCAGCTCTGTACTGGATGAATATTTAATGAATTTTACTACCATTATTAAAAAAATTGAAGTTGAAGCAATCGATTCATCTACATCCACTTACTTTTTACGTGATATTTTCGTAATATCAACCGACATGAAAATCACGTATTTTTTATCAAAATTCTATTTGACATTGAAGTGTGGTAATGATCGAAGTTTGATGTTTAAGGGGTTACGCATCAACATGAAATTTTTATTTAGAGTGTAGATAAGCTAAAAGAGACGAACTTGTCAAAAATAGGTTAAACCGAATTGACCTTTATTCTTTCCTTGTTGAACTGTGACTTATAAGAGGTTATCAGGATGATAAGTGTAGTTTTGTAAAGGTCCTAAAAATTTTACATTTGTCTATTTTTGCCGTGGTAATCTAGGAGATGCATCTTCTTTGCGAGAAAGAAACATGAGGAACATGCACATTAATATTATTTCACAGATTTCTGTGAAATTTTACCAAAATCTCAACAGCTGAACGTTCGGTTTTTTTTTCAGAATATCTGTGATAAATTACCGAACGTCCAGCTGTTGGGATTTCGGTAAAATTTCACAGAAATGTGTATGAAATAATCTTAGGGTGTGTATTATAAATTAGTCAATGACGTTTACTTTTTTTTTTAAGTTAAATCAGCCTCAGGAGGAAGAGGAAGCTGAAGAAGAGGAAATGGGTGTAGCTGAAACATATGCCGAGTACTGGCCAGCAAAGCGTAAGAGTGTCATATTTATCTTTATGAAACATAAAGGAATGCTGAGTATCAATTTATTCCAGTAAAAATCGGCAAAAAACATCCCGACTCGGTAGTGGAAACCGCCTCGCTGTCTTCGGTGGAACCATCCGACGTATATTACAAACTATCCATACCACCAGAAACCATCAATACCGGTCAATTGAGCGCTCTCCAGTTAGAATCGATCACCTATGCCAGCCAAGCACATGACCACCTGCTGGCGGATGGTTCTAGGGCCGGATTTCTCGTGGGTGATGGTGCTGGTGTTGGTAAGGGTCGGACAATCGCCGGTATAATGTATGAAAACTACTTGAAAGGACGCAAGAAAGCGATCTGGATCTCAGTTTCCAATGATCTACGATATGACGCCGAGAGAGATTTACGAGACATTGGTGCCAATCGGATCAACGTTTACGCTCTGAATAAGGTCAGTATAGAATGAGGTCAGTAACACGAAAAACGTGACATGGTTTGAATTAAATTTCATATCTTTTACATCCAGTTAAAATATGCCAAAATTAACTCATCTACAAACAATAACGTTAAGAAGGGTGTCATATTCGGCACCTATTCGGCATTGATTGGAGAATCGCAAAACACCACCGGAAAGTACAAGTCTCGTCTCAAGCAACTACTCCAATGGTGCGGTGAAGACTTTGACGGTGTGATTGTGTTTGATGAGTGTCATAAAGCGAAGAATCTATGCCCAGTGGGTTCTAGCAAGCCAACAAAGACTGGTCTCACAGCATTGGATCTGCAAAATAAGCTTCCTAAGGCTCGTGTCGTATATGCTTCTGCAACTGGCGCTTCGGAACCGCGAAACATGGCGTACATGGTGCGCTTAGGAATCTGGGGTCAGGGTACCCCGTTTCCAAGTTTCATGGACTTTATCGCAGCTGTTGAGAAGAGGTTTGTAACTGTTGACTTGATTTTCAGAATGCATGTACTAGTTAATCATTCTATGCAACAGAGGTGTTGGTGCGATGGAGATCGTTGCGATGGATATGAAACTGCGTGGTATGTACATCGCTCGCCAGCTCAGCTTCCATGGGGTAACATTCAAGATCGAAGAAGTTCCACTGACGAGAGACTTCAGGCAGGTTTATGATGAGTCGGTAGAATTGGTAATTGTCAGCGAACTTAGGTTAACTTTTATAATGACTGGTTTCCTTATTTTTCGTGTGTTCAATGTATTTCACAGTGGGTGGAAGCTATGCAAAAGTTTACCGAGGCGGCAGAACTGATTGATGCCGAGAACCGCATGAAGAAGACTATGTGGGGTCAGTTTTGGTCAGCCCACCAGCGCTTCTTCAAGTATCTCTGTATTGCATCTAAGGTGAACCATGCCGTCCGCGTAGCAAGAGAAGCGATCAAGTATGGAAAGTGTGTAGTTATTGGCTTACAATCGACGGGTGAGGCGAGAACGTTGGAGCAATTGGAGAGAGACGATGGCGAATTGACTGATTTTGTATCGACTGCAAAGTGAGTAAATTTGAATTTTTCAATTTATAATCAATTTAAAATAACCTCATATCGCATTCTTATTTCTTCAGGGGCGTTTTCCAATCGCTAGTAGAAAAGCATTTCCCAGCACCCGATCGAACCCGGATAAATCGGCTTCTAGGTTTGGAAGGACCTAAGAAAACCCAGCTGGAAAGTATACTCGAGGAAATAAACTCCAAACCCTCGGTGAGTGGTGATCTCAAACGCAAAAATCTGTTAGCCAAAAGTGTAAATCAAGCTAAACCGAAAAAAGCGCGAAGGAATTCGTCGGATAGTGACTCTAACAGTGATTCCGATTCCGATGTGAAGGCATCGGAGAGTGAACATGAGGAAAGTAATCATGATTCAGATAGCGCCCAAAGTAGCGATTATAATCCCTTCTACGCGGGTTCGGATAGCGATGACGATCCATGGGTGGGAAAGACCACCAAAGCCAAGCCAAAGAAACCGAAAAGTCCGAAGAAGAAACCGACATCGACTCAAGACAAAATTCAAGCCCATCTATCGAAGAAACAGAACGAAACAAAACCGGTGATGTTTCAGGCCAGTAACGGTATTTCGATTCAGCTCGGTCCTCCGCCAAAGGACGCCATTGAACACGCTTGTAAAATGAAAGACGAACTGTTGACTAAGATTGAAAGACTTGGTGATCGCTTGCCAGCGAATACCCTCGATCAGTTGATTGACGAACTGGGTGGTCCTGAAAACGTAGCCGAAATGACTGGTCGAAAAGGAAGGGTAGTTCAAACAGATGATGGAATTCAGTATGAGTCGAGATCCGAGCAAGATGTTCCTTTGGAAACACTCAACATTACTGAAAAGCAACGCTTCATGGATGGTGAGAAGGATGTTGCGATCATATCCGAGGCAGCTTCCAGCGGTATCTCGCTGCAAAGTGATCGTCGCGTGCGTAATCAACGACGGCGTGTTCATATTACATTGGAGCTACCCTGGTCGGCCGATCGTGCCGTTCAGCAGTTCGGTCGTACACATCGTTCCAATCAGGTCAATGCACCAGAGTACATGTTCCTTATATCCGATCTTGCCGGTGAACGACGATTTGCTTCGACGGTAGCTAAACGACTTGAATCACTTGGTGCCCTGACGCATGGAGATCGTCGAGCCACAGAAACACGTGACTTGTCACAGTTTAACATTGACAATAAGTACGGTCGATCGGCGCTTGAGTCCGTAATGAAGACAATCATGGGCTATGAACAACCCTTGGTTCCTCCGCCCGGTGATTACAAGGGTGATTTCTTCAAAGACATCGCTGGAGCTCTTGTCGGCGTTGGATTGATTGTTAACAGCGAACAGATGCCCGGAGTGTTAAGTTTGGATAAAGATTACAATAACATTTCAAAGTTCCTGAACAGAATACTCGGTATGCCGGTTGAACTACAAAATAGATTGTTTAAATACTTTACCGACACGCTGGCTGCAATTATTGAACAAGCGAAGAAACGTGGTCGTTTTGATCTGGGTATTTTGGGTAAGATGTTTTTTTAAAACTACATTCGCTCAGTTGTAATATGTTTCGCTCATCCATTAGATCTGGGAGCGGCTGGTGAAAATGTTACCCGAATCAAGATCACCAAGTTTATCAGGAAGCACTCAACTGGCGTTGCGCCAACCGAGCTACATACTGTGCAAGTTGAACGAGGAATGATTTGGCAAGAAGCTATTGACAAGTAAGATCATGTGCTATTGTATGTGGTGTATCTTCAACAACTCTCTCACTTGCAGATGGGCAGATTTAGGCGGTGAGAAAGAAGGATTTTATCTTTCCAAACAAGCACGCAATGGAAAGTATTCGGCAATTTTGGCAGTTGAAATTGATGACTCTGTCAATATAAAGAAGAAGACCGATACGAAGCGTAAGAAAGATATCATGTTCCAGATATATAGGCCCAATACCGGTTTGCAGGTTAAACATGAATCACTCGAGGAAGTGGAGAAAAAATTCAAAAAAGTACTGAGCGATGAAGCCGAACCACACTGGACGCGACAATATGATGCCTCAGTAAATACCTGTGCGCACAGCTATTGGAAGGGAATGTGCCGATATGTTTCCATGGGACAAGATTGCGAGGTATTTTGTTTGCACATGGAGTAGATTGAACAAATCAGATTTCTAATCAAACATGTTTGTAACAATTTCTATAGATTGGTCTTCGAAGGAGAACCTATTATGTGCTCTCTGGATCTGTGTTGTCTGTTTGGTCGAGGGTGGAAAACAATCTAGCCGCTCGGGCTGGAAGCCAGAATCGTATGCAGGTGATTCGGCTGAAAACGAAAGAAGGCAATAAGATCGTAGGAACTCTTATTCCCAAAAATTGTGTCGATCATTTGACGAGGGATTTGGGTAGCGATTCAGAGAAAGTCGAGGAGCAGTCTTTTTTGGACAAGTAAAGAATGGAAATCTGACACCGTGATCCGCCCGCCCGCGCTCCGCTCACTTGAGAGAAATATTACGTTGACAAAGTCGGCCTACCACATGGTTCGTAGGTAAATTGGGTAGATAACGACTTCGTTAACATTTCCCTATTATGCGAATGAGAAAAATATCCATTGGTCGTTTTTATAGAAGCCTTTACGAGGGTTTCTTTACATGCGACATAAACTGCATGTTATTTATGATAAGGTTTTGACCAAAAAATGAATGAATTATGCGTGTCCAGTTCATTGTTCACGTGGAGGGAAATGAGAATTAGTTTTCGCTATTAATAGTGAACTAATTTTAAAGATTATGACAAACTCATCGACGAGAAACATTCAAAGTGAAAGAACTAGAACATACATTTAGTTTATATAGTTAACTCTCCGTATCTCGATGTTTTATATCAGGATATTTTCCCCATCCCGATTACCTGAACAGTCCCTTCAGATGTTCACGAATCAATTGTTCTATATCTCGATCCCTCTCTTTCTCCCTATGTCGATGGCTCCATAGGAACCACTAAGCAAACAAATAATTTTCCATGTGTCGACGCAAAAATGTAGGTCATCATTTTTTTCCTACGTTTAAACTATACAAATAATGAGGTTTGTTTATGATACAGGATAAACAAATATGCTTTGGCTAATGAAATATTGGTGGTGAGTGTCGATGTCCCTATTTATTTCAGTGATCCCTCCAATTTTTATTTGCAAATTATACGAAAAGGAACGGTGAATTGGAGGTCCAGCGGGCGGTTGACGGCAATTTCCTGAAACAGATACACGTGATAGTACACTTAAGCAAGTCTGGTGTATAGATTTTAATGAGTTAGGTAATCAAAAATTATGGAAACCTATTGTATCAATCCGGGAGCGTTAAGGGCCACAAACGAGTCGATTCTAATGCGATCCGGGAATATTGGACACTACTGGATTGCATTACAATCTGATCATTTGTGCAAGGCCCTTTTATCATAAAACTAGGCTGTTTCCCATCAGCTCATCCTGTCATATTTATCGGGAAACTGTGTATAGATATGTTCTGTCCATCAACGAGGCACCATCCTAAAATTTATCATTTGTCGGTGACATGTACCCTAAATGCCGAATAATCTTAGTATCAAAATATGCGTCTGCGCGTGCGTGTGAGTGAGTGTGATAGTTGCTTAGAGAACGATTAATCTTGAACCGCTTGTTTTTAGATCAACAAATTCAATTCTGGGAGTTACGTTTCTAATACACTGGAGTTGGTTTTTTTCGTGGGGGATATGTACCGCATAAAAACCGACCAACCGAAATTGATAAATAGACTTCTCTGACGTTTATGAATTACACAAGTATTAGTGCAGAACTTTGGGTGAATTCAAAGGTTTTCTTGGACTTATACTTATAATTTACCCCAAGCTCTGCACTAATACTAGTGCATTTCACAAACGTCAGAGAAGTCTATTCACGTCTATTCACATGCTTAAACATTTTTAAATGATTGGATTTTGTTAACTCATGTGATTTTAGCTTATGGTCAATATCTAGGTAGGATATATTTTAAATTCTGGATTTACACAAAAAACTTGAATTTTGTTTAAGTTGTTGATTACTTTTGACCCAAAACAGATATTACGATTGGAAATAAACCGCGTAGAAACCGACTCCAGTGTAATTGTCTAGCGCCTTTCGCGAGCCAAAACATAGTCTTCGGTCAAGTTTGGAACATGGAATTGGTCTATTACTTTTGTTTCTCCATCAAATCAAACCGATACTAAATTAAATTAAACAAGGTTTATTTTAGTTATAAATTACAGCTATAATGTACAAAATAAATCAATAGGAATTTACTCGTAGGGTTATCATAAGACTGTAGCAATTAAATAACGAATAAATACATTGTGATGAATGGAGAATTTGTTGTTCTGGTGTCTCGTGGACACTCATCGTGTAGAGGGCATCCGAAATCCTTGGTAAAATGCAAAAAATAATAATAAAACATTTCTTGTTATCACAATTGTTTGTCATAGAGTAGAATGATATCCTCATCGGTTCCATTAGCTTTCCGTGCTTTGTCCATTGCTTCGTAGGACATGAAACATACTCCTGTGAACGATGTAAAATTATGCATTAGTACTCCTACATCGACGACCTTCAATGCCAGTAATGAGATATTTTCAATAAAGTTTTTTTTTGGGAAAGGGTCTGGTTTGATAACTGGGGCCTAAGATAGCTCAATCAGTGAAGGCACGGTATTAGCAAACTGAGAGGCGGCGAGTTCGATTCCCGGTCGGGTTGGAAAAATGTTCTGAACTTCCCGGGCAAAATATCCCGCGGCCTTTGCTCTAGTAAACGACGAGCCCCGATTTTCGCTCCTAGTTTACTCGATTTCTTTATGGGGAATAACATTGAATTAATTTTGTCGAACCGTTTAGCGGGGAATCCTTTTATGGAGAGCTTTTAAGTGTGTTGATTTATTTCCTTTTAATTCCGTTATAATTGCTTATGTTTTGACAGATACACGTCGTAAAACAAAATTCGAGGTTACGGGTCATTTGAAATTTAACGGACAACTGCTTAATTAAAATTTTGGAATTAGCAAAAAATCAAGGCCCAGAGTAAAGCAGACTTTCAAGTCAAGATCGTGGATTTAAAAAAACAATCACATGCTTTGAAATATTAAAAAAATGCCAGGAATAGCATTTTTAAAGATTTTGGAACTTGTAAAAATTTAAATATTTGAAATTAAAAACAATTTCCAATATCCTGAATTTCACTATTTTGTCATGATCCTACAACTGAATTTTGGCCGCCTGTAAACAAAACTTATACAGTAATTACCTGATTTTGTCAGCCCCTCCGCGCATCAGGCTTTTGTCTTTCAATAATTTCACATAACCGTAATTCCAAATCTTTCTCATCACATGGGTTTCGTAGAATATTAGAAAAGATTTTCAAAAAGAGGGCTGATAAAATCGGGTCATTACTATAATGCCCTTTTCGCACGAACCGATGATCGCCCACGTAATCCAAAAACATTATGGGGAAGAGGACAACATTTTTTTTAATTTCACCGGAAATTGAACCCGCGACCTCCTGTTTGGAAATACCGTGCCTTAACTGACTAGGCTATCTGATAGTCCGATAACTTACTGTCTTTAAATGCAGGATTTCGGTATATAAATTTCCGTATTCTCTGGTCGTAGCCACACAGGATGATGTAATGCCCCATGTAAGCTGCTTTCAATCCTAGACATGATCTGAAAAAGAGAGTGAAGTTCAACATTATTTATGCTGACTGCCAGACTTGAAATAAAGTGCTAACCTTAATTCCTTGGAAAGCTTATTGGTTTTACAAAGATCACAATACAATAGAGAGGCGTTGGTTAGCAGAATAATATTGCCATGGTTTGCTAAATGCTCCTGCAGGAACTGGTGCGACATTGATTTAGTTTCAATAGGAATGCCACGGGAAGATGCGTTGGCAAATTTCTCATTAACTCGCATCTCGTCCTAGTAAAAACGATACAATCAAATTATAATTATTATATGGTGAGCCACAACGATCGACCTTGTCTGCCATATATACCGTGTTAAAGCATTTGTAGTACTCCTTCCCAAGGTGTGATGGATTTGCTCCGAATGTAGTCGTGATGTACTTGTGCTTTACGCCAAAATCCTTGAGGACGTAGCACAGGTCGATGGTCCATGTACTGAAATAGAAGACCTTGAGATATTATTTCGTTCGATGTGGTTTGAGGAAATCTCAAATATAAACCTTTCTCCAAATCCACCCGTATGACAGATGTGTTTAAAATTATCCAGGAAATTGCGTTTCTCATTGTGGCCTAAAAGCATCAAAATACACGACAGGCCACAATCCCATTCGTAACGCTGTCGGAAGTGAACCAAAGGGTGTTCTACAAATGCAGGGAGCGTTTCTGTTGAAGACAAAGTTTATTTTATACTACAAAATCATAATTTATTGGTTATGAGCAGTGCAACATACCTTTCATTTTTACATGCGAATTGTAGACAGTTCCTTATCAATAGTTATCGACATGTGAACAAATCAGTCTTATCGAACACAAAAAATAATGTATTATCTCTGGTCCATGAATGAACATTGGACTAACATCCAACCCCATCAAAGAAGAGAGAACGGCAACCAGACACAACAAGACAATGAGAGGTGAAGCAGATCGTGAAATATGGTTGGATTAGTAATCCAAAAAATCAACGTAAACGCAATTAGTGACGTCACTAATTGCTTGTATCGTACCAATGACATTTATATAAGGTCTGGGCCAACAGGCAGCTTGCTGGTGTTAGAAGCAAAAATGTTGTAAACATTGCTGAACATCTGCGAACAGATAGATATACGTCACTGCCAACATACTGAGAACAGATAGATATACGTCACTGCCAACAGCTGTTTCGTGTAAAAAGATAAACATTGCAATATAATACGAACACCACTAACCATTTGCACATTTCACTAACACCAATAAGCCCTTTGGCCCAGACCTTATATAAACGTCATTGGTATCGTACAGGGGTTTCACTCACACAACTTCACCGATTGCTTCACCTCGGTAATGAAATCATTGATCCAGACAGTCTGAAGTTTATTTTTTTGAATGCGAACGATGCGGTAAAAGGAATTCGAATCAAAATATATACAATGCATGCGTATACGTGTTTGGTTAACTCACAGACAAACTGACATAAAACTTTTGAATATATTTTTATTTAAAAACATGTGTTTAAAACACTAACGGATAGAAAAAAGTACCCAATATTGAGTTCCATTTAACCATGTCAACAGTTTCGTGCGCCAACTTAATTTTGAGCTGACACCATTACAAACGGGTACCATACAAAAACGATATCATAGATCATGCGATCATATCGCATATAGTAGGGATCACTCGCATGTAAATAGACTTTACTTGTAACTTGTTTTTACCCAACGTCAAATTCTTAGTATTAAATTGTACACCACTTACTCAAAGTCAACTTGGTACATGGAAGACTCCCATTAGGTTGTGTTCCTCGCTTAGATTTTGACAACAAACGTGAGAGCGAATCGAGATGCAGGAAAAATTGAGTTACGATTCTGAAGATTTCCTGTAAAAATATGATGCGCGATGCAAGAAATGGAAAAAGATTTTTCGATGGTTGATTCGCTAGTGTGAGATATGTTAAGAACCCAAGCGTTGGGTTGTTTTGTTTAGCTGTGTATACTTCTGTAATACCATAATAGAGCAGTGACCAGAAGTGACGCTCGACTTGACATACATAATAGGGCCCTATATTATGGCGTGTGCCCCAGGTTGTGCACAGACGGCAGTTGTATTGAAACGTCAAATTCCATAAATTAACGATAACCCAAATGGTAGACTATTCCACACATAGTTTAGATGATTCCCCGAACACGTCGTTAAGCAAAATAATCATAAAAATTGCATAAGGGATATCTAAAAACGAAACGAAAATAAATTATTTTATTCATGTGCTACACTTATACATTTTTGTCAAAACATCAGCCTTATACATTCCATAAGACAAACCACATATACACACTTAAATATTTTCGCCGAAATTCCAACAGCCGAGTAATTCTGCAATTTATTTTACTGAGATTCAGTAAAACAATTGCCGAGACTCAGCTAACAAATTACATTTTGCTGAGCTGTCAGCTAACAAACAGATATTTTGCAGAGATATCAGCAAAAGAGAATGCCGAGGTAATCGGCTTTTGGAGATTTTACCGAGCTAGATTAAGTGTGTAGGTTCTATAAAAATGAATAAACGGTATGTGTTACCATTTATATATTTCGATGAACATTTCAAATGGTCCTATCTGCTTTGATCGATTCTCTTCATCGACTTTCTCTCTTCATAACCACTGGTATGCAAACAGATTTCGCGCTAATTCTACCACATAGTTTATTTATTTATTTTTATTTATTTATTTATTTATTTAATTACATCAACAGGCTGGATGAAGCCCCAATGATTTAAACCTTATCAACTATGGTAAAAAAAATTACATTCAAGCATGGTCATAACATAAAAAAACATTAAAAAACGTATATCTTATAGTCAATATCTTAACTCCTGCCGGCGAAAAACAGAAGAAAACTTTCGACGAAGCGCATCACGGGAAAGATGAAAGTCGAAAACAGATGCAACTCTGTTGAATGTTCTCTGCAGTCCGCAAATCGCACCGTACGCTCCATAATTTGTGCGACGTAGAGGCAGTCTTAGCATAAGGTTATTACGAAGCGGTCGGGGTTGAACATTCAGGTCAATTTGCCTCAGGATAGCCTCACAATCTGTCCTTCCTTGTAGGATATCGGCCACGGTAAGGGCTCTGTTTGTGTCTCTTCTAGTCCGGAGAAGTTCTAGGTCGATAAGTTGACAACGGCTTTCGTAGCTTGGTAATCGAAACGGATCGTTCCAAGGCAATCTACGCAACGCAAAACGAAGAAAGCGACGTTGAACAGATTCAATTCTCTCGGCACCGTTGTTGTAGTTTGGGTTCCAAACCGCTGAACAATATTCAAGCGTCGATCGAACAAGCGAACAATAGAGAGATTTTAGACAGTAGATATCAGTGAAGTTTTTAGCTATCCTAAAAATGAACCCTAAAGTTCTTGACGCCTTATCAACAACATATGCAATGTGTTGCTTGAAAGAAAGCTGCGAATCCAAGATCACACCCAAGTCTTTCACCTGATTCACGCGTTCGATTGTCGAGCCAAGCAGGTCATAGCTAAATATTATCGGTTGTTGTTTTCGTGAGAACGTAATAGCGGAGCATTTGGCTGGGTTCACTACCATTCTGTTTAACCTGCACCAACTAGCGAATACATTCAGTTGACGTTGAAGAAAGTGACAGTCAGCAATGGAGCAGATTCGTAGGAAGATTTTGAGGTCATCTGCATTTGATAAAGGAGGTTCTTATCTAGCGTCCAAAACGTCAAATACATCAGGGAAAGGTTTTGCAGTTGAGTTATTGACGAATGAGAAAGTCGATGAAGAGAATCGATCAATGCAGATAGGACCTCAGGCGTAACATTTGATAACGGTACAAAAGCTTTTATAAACATACTTTCTAAGGCCCTTTACCCGCTAACCAAAGTACGCTCACGCAACAACAACAACATCATCGGATAGGGGCAACTCTCCTCTTTCGGAAAGTGGTGTTGGTTTGCGTGGGCGTACCTTGGTTAGCGTCTAAAGGGCCTTAGAAAGTTTGTTTACAAATGCTTTTGTGCCGTTATCAAATATTACGCCTGACCTTTTGAAATGTTCATCTAGATTTGACAGCCCAGTGGCAGGCGCGTATGCAATATGTATAACAGCGGACCCAGCACAGCATAATAAACGATTTGAGCCCGTCAAACGCCCTAATAAAAAATAACCATAAACGAACGATAACCCAAATCATTGAACTATTCCACATATGGTTTGGATGATACTCAGAACACGTCGTTAAGCAAATTAACCATACAATTTTTATTAGGGCGTTGCTGTTGGTATAGGCCTTGTCAGTGGCCTGAGATTTGACATCGGACATGATTTACATTAAGTTTTGTTTTTTATTAGTTGACTTATACATTTTATGAATAAAAAGCCAAAAAGTATAAGCGGATTTCTATCCGTGTTACAGTCAGTGTTCACATTTTCTAAATCGACCCTTCCGGCAGTGACAAGTTATGTCTGATTGTCTGTGGTTCATTCGTTTTTGGGTTCCCGCGGGTGAATGCACGATCGAAACGAGCGCAGCCAAAAATCCATCAGCTGTTTTTGACGTTCAGGTAAAAATCGACCATCGTGCGCAACCTGTTCGACGCTTGACCTCGTTCTTGTTTGTTGTTTCTTTCAACTTCTGTAACAGTATTCGGTTAGTTTCGCAAGTGAACATACACATTATTGTGGTTCTTCGGCATTGTGTAACCATGCTGACCCGTCATATAAAAGCCGGTTCCCGGCTCATCCCGTCGGTTTCATTCCGATTCCGTTTAGTTATTGCAAGTTATTCGGAACAGAAAGCGCATAATACCAAACAGGACGAATCGGTAACCCATTTTGGATTTGAAACTGTGAAGGAAAGCGAGAAGTGGCAAAAGGTGCACAAAGTTTTCGAACAAGTAGCGTCGTCCTATGATCTTATGAATGATGCCATGTCGCTTGGAATCCATCGGGTGTGGAAAGACATGTTCATTGAGCGATTAGCGCCGATTGGCGGAGGCAACCGGTTGTTGGATATGGCCGGTGGAACGGGAGATATCGCATTTCGCTATTTGAAGTACCTCAACAACCTGTCTCCTCAAGACAGTGCAGTTACCAACCACGTTACAGTATCGGATATCAATCAGAACATGCTGGATGTGGGTAAGGAGAGGTACCAAAGGTGAGGATTACCTTGCATAATATTCTATTTTATCTTTGCTTCCTCTTTTTTGGGTTTATAACGTCCTTACTGCGAATTTGCGCCGGCCCTCAACTTACGTCGTTTTTACCGATGTACGCCCACGCAAATTAACATCACCATCGGGTAGGGAATGTTGAGCTATCAATTACTCACAATTGGCCCATGTGTGTTTGAATGAGTGCGATATCCTACGCAGGTGTGGAAGCTGCCTTCCTGCACATTCGATTGCCGTCAATGGATGGCAATCAGGCCTACACATACTCATTAGTGCTATAATACTACTTTTCTAAATTATGAAACTATGAGATATTATAATAATAATTTTTATATGTAATATGCAAGAAGAGGAGGTACAGTTTGTGTATGACACATAAAACCAGTCAATTTTGATTTCAAAGGGTCATAATTATCTATTTTAGCTGTAATGAGTAATCGTCATGAGTGAGTACTATTCGTTATAGCTAATCGCTGATTGTGACACTCTGGAAGCGAAATCGACATGTTCTATGTGACATACACAAACTGTACCGCCTCTTCTTGCTTCTTACATATATTGCGCATTTTGCACCAAATTAGACTCCTGTGCAAAAAATAATTGCACAGTAATATTTTCGCACATGCCAGAAAATTTAAAAATCGACTTATTTGAAAGCTGTAACAGCTTTAGAACATTACTAGCAAGCTACACTGTTGAATTAAAGCTCTAGAAAGCATTAAGAAGCTCCATATTTAACTTTTATGACCAGTGCGAAAATATTATCAGGTGTGATCCGCATTACAAATTATTAATAATTTCGTAAAGTAGTATTTTAACTGTAATGAGTATGATGGCAATCGATGTCCGTCGGTGATTGGCACTCGATTGCAGAACAGAGACCGACGTTAAATAACTCGCGCTTATTGAAGCTTAATTTGAAGCAAGTGAAAAACCATAAAATTTCGCTAGCGAAAAAGGTTGTGGAACATAAGCTCTCTACGCGCTTAGGTGTTGGTGTGGTGAAAGTAAGGATAACAAAACAAAACGCTTCAAAAAAATTTCAGGACGGTGAGTGAAATTAAATATTTGATTTTTCGGATTAAAATATTATAATTATTAGTTCGAATACATCAATTGTAAAATTCTTTGGAAGCAGCAGAACGGTATCGCTAGAAAATCGATTTGTGTTACGGGTTGGATCCGTATGCCGTCCAAACTACTCCAAAAGATGTACCGTTAACTTTGTCATTCGCCAATATTTATCAGTTTCATTTTCTGGACTGGGATCCATTTACTGGACATCCAAAAAATTGTACCAAAGGAATGGAATCAATTCTATATTTTACGATCTTAGTCAAATCAGATAGAAGCATCCTAGCTGCGCATTGTGTCTGCGCTATTGGAAAAGCTTACAACCACATTGGAGCAACTTTATTTGCCTTGGATGTTGTTCAAACAGCTGTGTTTGAGAAGAATTTGAAAAAAATCAGGTTATGTGTACAGTACATATTATAATGTTTGTGCTATCATATTTCAGCTACCTGTAACTGATCTTCCTTCTTGGAAAAAGCCACCGGTTTCTATCTATCAGAATTTCTTTAAGTTCGTGATCTTGTCTTGATCGTGGTCTTGTTGTAGCGGCAATGACTCAATATTGCACTTAAGCTGATATGGATTTTATATGCTCGAGCTGTTCTGAAGATACGAGAGTGAAACAGAGCTTCGAAGAATACAACCTTCGGCTTGTATCCGATATTAGCCGTACAACAAAGACTGTGCTACTTTTGCGGCAACTGGCCATAGATCTTTTTCTAGATCATCGGAATAATCCTGAAATGCTGGACGAAATAGAAACTCTCACTACCGACCAAAGCAATTCTAAATGGTGGGGAATCTTTCGAAGTGGTCGTATCACCGCATCAGTGTTGAAAGATGTCTGTAGAACTAATATTTTCAAACCTGCGAAATCATTTTTGGTGAAAATTTGCTATCCTGAACGTACAATTTACATCCCAGCAACTAAATAATGGAAGCAAACATGCAGAAACGGAAATCACTGATTCTATTTGCAGTCAGCATCGGAAATTCATACAAATTTGAGCAAACGAAATTGTGGGGTTGTTTATTTCTCATGAGAACCGTGATTAGGCCAGATGCTATTTAACTGTGAATGTCATTGTGTAGTTATTGTAAAAATTAATAGCCCATTCTCAGCAAAAGATCGCAATGATTTGTTGCAAGTTCTCCCTAATTTGAAAGATCCCTTCATTCTCCGGGATAACGAAGAAAACTTAGCTGAGAATACCAACCATAAATATTACTA